TTTTTCCTTTTGTGCTGTGTGTTTGCCTTCTGAATTGATAAAACATTGTTATAGCAAAGATGGGCAAAATGGAGAGGAAAAGAAAGAAATGGAGGGTATGGAGGGGAAGGAAAGGAAAAAGGAGGCAACTGACCTATGCTGCCCTATTTTATTTTGCAGAGTATAATAAAAGCATTATCTCTGGCCTCAATTACTGCATTGCTCTCTTGCCTGCTATGAAGATCTGTCTTCCACATAACAGTCTGTATTATCATTTAAAAATGTCTATCAGATCTTGTTATATCTTTCCTTAAAATTAGGATGACATTTAAAGTCTACCATATTTTCCATATGATCTGTCCTTCTCTAACTTCTCAATTCTCTCTCCTTAGTCTCTGCTCTGCTTTTAAGACACACCAAAGTCAAGGCTTTTTCCACTTCAAAGCCCTTCACTTGATTTTCTTTTGTCTGGAATGTTCTTTTCTCTTGTTCAGCTCATGACTGGTTTCTCAACTTTTAGGTCTCAGTTCAAAAATGACATTGCAGAGAGATCTTGCCTAATTTATCTAAAGGAGTCTTTTTCTCACCCTAACTGCAGCCAGTACTCACAACTTTGTTCGTTTATTTCTTCATAGCACTTGGCACAGCCTGAAATTATTTTCATATTTGTTTACTTGAGATTTGTCCTCTTTATTGAGAATGTAAACATCTAGAAATAAGGGCCTTTTTTTGTCTTCACCACACAGGTATTCTCATTAATTATCATGGTATCTGGCACACAGCTGGTGCTAAATGAACATTCACTGAACCAGTGAATGAGAAAAATAAAGAATTTGGGCATGGCTGGACTACTGGACCTATGTGTGTTTTCTTGACTAGAGGGATGGTCAGTTAGAAAACTTGTGGACATTCAGTTTGTCTAGGAAAAAGGTGCATAGTGACAGATAGGAGGAAATTATGCTAGAAAAAGTGGAGTTAAATCCTGAAGTTCTTGAGTGTTATGCTGCAGAGTGTCTGGAATCTCTTTTGTGGTCAATGGATAGCTACTGAAGATTTTTGAGTAGTCAATGTGCACTTTAGAAATGCCTCCTTTATTACCAGCTGTGGAAATCTCTTTGTATGTCAGAAGAGCCTCATTCACTCACCAGTTCAAGGACACCGAAACTTCTGAATGCTAGCAGGGGTGTTGATTTAGTCAGTGCTCATTTCTTTTTCCATGCAGCATGACTGCCACGTATGGTTGTGCTTCTGGGCTGGCAGGAGAGAATGTTTGCCTTAGTTCTTCACAGCCTGAGATGAAATGACCTGGTGCTTCTGGAAGGCATGTTTTTAAACCAGTATTCTCACATCTCAGTGGGGCAGTGGTCGTCCTTAAAAGTTCAATACCATCTTATTGTCGAATCATTCCCTTTGTCAATTGTTCTTTATTTCACAATTCATTTTTCTAATGCATAGAGTTACCTTCATATTAGACTTACCCTCTCTTTGGTTTGTTTTAATTAGGTCTTAAAGGAAGTCCAGTTTAAAGCCTTTAAATGCAGTTTGCTTTTGGTTTGTTTTAGAGGAGTGAGTAGATCCTTTCTTAGCTGAAACATAGTACTTAGAAAACCTTGTAATAATCTCCATCCAATAATATGACTTCTATGTGGCATACACGGGTTCACGTGAACTTTTCCTATCACTTTGGATATGTGTGTTTAATTTCTAAAATGCAGTACAAAGATATTAATATCAAGCTTACAGTTAAAACAGTGATCTATTTTATAGACGCTGGCAGACGATTCTGGTTTCCTGAACTGGTTCACATAATTCAAAAGCCAGGGCTAGTTCATAAAGTTTTATAGTTCCACCTTAAGTCAGGGACCCTCCTTTATATTTATATTTGGGAAGATGATATTATGGTCAATATTAGATTATAAAGGAGGAAATTACCAAATAAAAACCCACTGTGTTCAAATTTGAGCAAAGGAAACAGTTTATCAACACTGACTGACAGTTTTTAAGACCTATTGTATCAATCACATTGGTCTGTGATAACCACATTGGAAGCTCTCAATATAAATGATGAATTCAGAGATATTTTTAATAAACTTGAATGCTTTTAGTACCTTATAGCTTAGGAGGCACACTCATATGTAATATTTTAAATTTTTTTAAATATTTTAATTTAAAATTTATATATAAAAGATTTAATTCTTACAAGTTTTTTTCTCTTAGACACATCATAAACCTCATCTATATGTAAAATAGGTAGAAAACAAAAAGATAAATAAGTTATAGTATTCCTATCTATACAGAGCTCTACTGGGAGAAGCAAATATACTAAGATACATACAGTATAAAGCACAGTATGGTAAGTGCCAATAGAGGAATACGGATAACATGATATTGTGGTGCTTGACTATAGTTATAGGACTGGGAAGGCTCTCTTAGAGAAGGCAGGATTTAAGCTTCGCCTGATAGGGCATGATAGAGAAGAGATAGAATGACAAAGTTCCTCTAGCTCAGTAGAATAGCCTGAGCCAAGGCAAAAGGGTACGGAAATGAACAACATAAATATTTATTTGTGTTTCATCAACTTTAATGTCTGGTGCTATAGAACCAAAGTATATCAGTGCTAACCTGTTTTACTCATAACCTATAATTTGGCTATTACCTGGAGACAGTTTTCACCAACCACAAGCACATGCGTTCATGGGAGCTATAAACTTTATTCTTCATTAATGAGAGCATATTCACATCCTTGAAACAGATAGATCATTTATAAATTGTATGCTACTATTTATTTCTTTTTAGTGCTTTAGTGATGCTTGAAGCACATTCATATATATTACACAATTAAATCTTTCCAAAATCCTATGTCATAGATTGTTGTAAGCAGTTATTATGAGCTTCTTTTCTTAAGAAAGAACTGAAATAAAAATGTTGAAATGGCTTTTTCCAGGTTCACTTGGGAATAAATGTGAACCACATGCAATTTAGAATCCATTGTGTTCCTCTATACCTCTGTAATTGTCACTGTGTAGATGTCCAAACAATTGATATATATCTGTTTTATGTGTAAGAAATTGAGAAATTAAAACTGACAAAGAAGCCAAATCCAAAATTACTTATTTTGACAAGATAATTTTAGGTGCACAGAATTGAGGACAATGGTACAAGTGGTATGGAGAGTGGATTTCAGGTAGAATTTAATGGAAGGAAGGTCAATAGCTAAGAATATACAAATTAAATGAACAAATGAATATTCATTTTTATGATATGAGGTAAATGGATTTGTCTATTGACATTCTCTGTGACTAAAGCACATGTCAAAATTCTCAAATTGAGTAAACTAGTTCTATTTTATTAAAAATGCATCATTGCTTGTTACATGCAAAGCATGTAGTAAGTGGTTTAGGAGGAGATTGACAGTGTCTGTGTAGGGGTTATGAAAAATTCTTTCTTTTGTATTAATGAAAATCAAAATTGTAAATTAAGAATCAAATATCTTAATGAAAGCATTGAGCAGCTTTTATGTATTGGAATAATTCATCCTTTTAACTTTTTTCAATTTTTATATTTTTAATTGACACATACAAATTATACATATTTATAGAGTCCAATGTGATGTTTTGATATATGTATACAATGTATAATGATCAAATAAGGGTAATCAGCAAATCTATCACCTCAAACGTTTATTATTTCTCTGTGGTAAAAACATTTAAAATCCTCTCTTCTAGCTATGCTGACATATACAATACATAATTATTAACTATAGTCACCCTACTGTACAGTAGAACACTAGAACTTATTCTGCCTATCTAACTGTAACTTTGCACTCTTTGACCAAGCTCTGTTCATCCCTCCTGCGCTGTACCCTCCCCAGCCTCTGGTAATCACTATTCTACTCTCTACTTCTATGACATCAACTTTTTCAGATTCCACATAAGAGTGAGATCATGCAGGATTTGTCATTTTGCTTATGGCTTATTTCACTTACCACAGTGTCCTCCAGGTTCATTAATGTTGTCACAAATGACAGGATAATTAATTATTTTTGTGGCTAAATAGTATTCCATTGAGTATATATTCCACCTTTTCTTTATTCATTCAGTCATTGATAAACACTTAGGTTGATCCCGTATCTTGGCTATTGTGAATAGTGCTGCAATAAACATGGGCGTGCAGATAAGTCTTCAAAATACTGACTTCGTTTCCCTTGGATGTATATCCAGTAGTGGGATTACTGGATGATATGGCAGTTCTATTTTTAATTTTTTGAGGAACTTCCATCTTGTTGTCCATAATGGCTGGATTAATTTACATTTTCACCAACAGTGTTAAGAGCTCAGCTCCCTTCCTTCCACATCATGCCAACACTTTTTATCTTTTGTCTTTTTGATAATAATCATTCAAACTAGAATGAGGTGATATTTTATTGTGGGTTTGGCTTGCATTTTCCCAGTGATTAGTGATGCAGAGCATGTTTTCATGCACCTGTTAGCCATTTGTATGTCTTCTTTTGAGAAAAGTCCCTTCAGGTCTTTTGCCCATTTTAATTGGATTATTTTATTTTATTTATTTATTTTTACTATTGAGTTGGTTGAGTTCCTTATATATTTTGGATATTAACCACTTGTCAGATGTATAATTTGCAAATATGTTCTCCTATTTTGTAGGTTATCTCTTCATTCTGTTGTTTCTTTTGCTTTGCAGAAGCTATTTAGGTTGATATAACTCATCTATATATTTTTGTTTTTATTGCTTATTCCTTTGGAATTTTATCCAAAAAAATCCTTGCCCAGACTAATGTCATGAAATATTTACCCTATGTATTTTTCTAATATTTTCATAGTTTTGGTCCTACATTTAAGTCTTTATTTCATGTTGACTTTTTTTTATATGGTGAGGGATAGGGGTCCAGTTTCATTCTTCTGCATGTTGTCTTGCCACTTTCAAGCTGTGAGACATTTATTTCTCTGTGCCTGGTTTAGAAATATTTTCCTTCATTTGGCTCTTTTTTTTTCTCTCTATAGCTTAACCAGATGGAGAAAGCAGTGGAAGCAGCCCACACATTTTTCATGGCCAACCCTGAGCACATGGAAATGCAGCAGAACATTGAGAATTATAGAATGATGTCTGGTGTTGAAGCATTCCAACTGGTAGATAGAGAAGCCAAACCACATATGGTGAGCTCTGGGAACTCCTGTCCTTATGATTCTCACAGGGAGCTATGTTCCATTCATTTCATATGAATGGATATCTCAAATTTAGTCTCAAATTTCAGTAACATGTTTACACTTTCAGAGTTCTCAGATGAAATATTATAATTATCACAGCTGACAAAATTAAGATAATTTTTAAAGTTTCAATTAAATTTTTAAAACTAAAATTAAAAAAACTAAACAACTAAAAATTAAGATTTGAGAGAAAATGAAAATTAACTTAGAAAATTAGTATAAGGTTGTGAAAACTAGAATATCATATAAATACCTGTAATCCTTGCTAGCCTCAGCTCCTCTCCAACACTTCTATTCCACACCTGGGAGTTGAAGCCAATGTGAATTTCTCAAGGTCACGCTATGTTTTCCAGTTCCTCGTCAGTGGTTTGTCCATTGTGTCTTGTACTTTTCAAAGTGGGTTTTAAAAAAGCCACATAATACTTTGTTTAGATAATGTAATGTTATTTGAAATCACATGTTGAAAGAGCTTTTTTCCCCCCAATTTTTAACATCAACAAGCTCAATGTGCAGCCTCCAAAATCATTGCAGAAAAGAATAAGAGAGGAAGATTTAAGATGGAAGATTTTTTATTTTTAATTGGACAAGGCCTGTCACTTCCACCCACATATGTTGTCCTGCACTTGTTATGTTGCCCTACCTATGGGCAAGAGATTAGAAAATACTGTCTTATGTGTGCTGAGGAAGAAAATGAAATTGATTGTTCCCATTGCATTCTCTTGCTAAGCAAGTCCCCTCTTGTTTACAATTACTTGAAGCCAGGAAGGTTGCACTTTATCTCCTAGTGCAATTCTTCTTTATCCCCCCACAGCAAGGGAGTTCATACCCCACCTCCCTCAATGATGGCAAGTCTGCCTATATTCTGCTCCTTGAAAATGCTTTTTGTTCTGTTTTTTGTTTTCTTTTTTCAGGAGAGTTATAATGCAGGAGTTAAACACTATGAAGCTGATGACTTTGAGGTGGCCATAAAGTACTTTGAACAAGCTTTAAGAGAATATTTCAATGAAGATATGGAATGCCGAACCCTATGTGAGGGGCCTCAGAGATTTGAAGAGTATGAGTATCTAGGGTATAAAGGTGGTCTGTATGAAGCCATTGCAGGTAAAGCTTATTTTTTCCTTCTATTTATTTCCTGATTATAAAAGTACTATATGCAATTTTAAAAGTTTTCCAGCAATATAGAAGTATATATTGTAATAATGAAAGACTCATATGTCTATTCCACCCTATCTCCTGTAGATAAATTTATGTAGTTAAAATTTTGGTAACTCTCCTCCCAAACTTTTCCAGATGCATATGCAAATATTTATGTATTTATATATAATCATTATTTCAATTGTTATAGAAATAGGGTAATACTATACATATTGTTTTTCAACTTTTTTATTTGTTTTATGCTTACCAATATGTTGTGGACTTCTCATGTAAGTATATGTAGACTTACCATTTTGTATTTAATGGCTGGGTAATGTTCTACTATATGAGTATATCATAATTTATTTGACCAATCCTTTACTGGGGAATAATAAAGATATTGTAATTTTTCATTATTATAAACAATGTAGTAGTGAATGCTTTTGTATAATCTTCAATTATTTAAAAAAGTGTTTTATTATATAATGAGAATTTAATATGTTGCAAAGTAGAATTTAAAATAGTAGGTAATATGCTTTGTACAGTAATTGGGGAGATTGGCTAGTTAACCATTTTTAGGGGTGAAGTAAATTCTCTGCTTTATATCATACACAAAAATAAATTATATTTGTATTACAATATAAATATAAAAAAACAAAAATGTTAGAAGAAAATGCAGGAGGTTATTTGTATTACAATGATATAGGAGAAGAAAGCTCTTCTAAGCATGACAAAAGACAAGAAAAAAATGAAGAAAATTGTAGACTTTACATGAGATTTATAGATACAAATTTAAATAATAAACTAAGCTGATCTACAAATGACAAATAGAAAATATTGCAAAATATTTTATAGGCAAAGAGTTAATATCCTTCATATTTAAAAAGAAAAAAGAGACTGTAAATTATTAGTAGTAGAAGTAATTTACTTCCTAATTAGTATAATAATAATCACCATGCATGTGACAGTTATAACATACAAAGTACTTTATTTATATCTCTTTTAAATCTCTAAATAACTCTTCATAGATAGATATTGTTATTTACTTTCTCTCCCTTTTTTCAAATGAGGAATTTTTACTTCAGTAAGATTAAGTAATGTGACAATAGTCTAGCTGCAAATCAAATTCAGGTTTTCATGAATTTAATACATATACTTTTAACGCCTATGTAATTGAAAAACAGATTATTAATATCTTCAATAATAAATGTTCAACAAATATTTCTTGAGCACCTATTGTATTCCAAGTTATACATATATGAAAAACAATGTTCAACTTAATGTACTCATAAAAATGCAAATTAATGAAGTCAGGTTGCTCTCCCAAGCTTCCAATATTTTCTGTCTCCCAAGAAAGCACTACTCACCTAGTAGCTCAAACCAAATCCCAGGAAGTTATCTTGCAATCCATCTTCCTCCATTTCTGCTCTGATCTGATTTGTTACCAAACTTTGTTAGATGCTACTTGCTAACAGCACTTATGACTTCCTGGCTCTTTCCATCCCTTTTGCTACCATCCAGGCTCACACTGACAGCTGACTGCCTCCTTGCTGCTCCTCATGTCCTCTTCAGGTTTTGCTCAGAACACAGGCAGAGCAGTATCTAGAAAACAAAATTCTTTTCATAGACCTGCTTAAAACACTCCAATGGCTTCCATTCCACTTAGAATTAAAACCATAACCTTTCATAAGGACCTTTTATGATAGGGAACTTGTGTATGTTTTCATTCTCCCTCTCTCCCGATCTACTGCACTTTCTTTTAATTCCTTGAATATGCCATGCTTATTTCCACTTGTAGACCTTCAAAATGTTATTTTGCTCTATCACCTGCTTAAAGACCCATCTTGTTCAGTACTCAATCTTCAGTGCCCACGTACATGACTGGCAAAAAGTAGGTATTTAGCAAACATTGGTTAAATGAACTGGTTGATTAATGAATGTATGAAGTAGATGACATATCCATCCATCACGTTAGAGATGAAAAGAGTTTGACTGATCTGAATGCAGTAGTCTCTACAACTAATTGATTGCACCAGTTACAGATTTTTTATTCTTTCTCCACTCCCACTGCTTCACATTACTAGCCTGAAAAAAAAAAAAAGGGTTGACAATACTCCATGTTTTTAAGAATGTAGCTCATAAATTGTTAAGGTTTTTTAGAGAGACAATTAGGGATGTAGACAGCTATCAAAAGTTAGATGAGGAAGTAAACTAAAAATTTCAGTAAACTGAAATATGTCAAATGTCCAATTTGTGGCACACTCAAATCTACTAAATCAACTCAATTCAGTTAAAATCAATGCAACTATCTGGATTATTGAGGATTCCCTTCCCTCCCTCAAAAAAGTTTGTTTTCCTGGGTCTCTGTCAGATCCATTTACCTGCATTTTTGTGAGCACTGCTCATTTGAATGTCAATTGTACATGTGTTTCACATTTTAATCGCTGAGTATATCTCTACACTTAATCTTTTATTTGGGAATGAGCAGACTTTTCCTCTATTATTTTTAGCTATATTATGATTTTGTGGGCATAGGCGCTCTGCTATTGCCCTCACATTCACCTCTACACCTGCCTCTACCAATGGCCACAGAACAGTTTGGCAAACGTCCTAGATCTGATTGAGGAAAATTGACTGATGGCTTCCTGTAGATTAGAATTTAGTGATTTGCTCAAGGTTACCACAGCACATTGGTTGCTGGAAAAGAATAGAGATCTCTCAACTCAGGTTCTTTAATTTTTTACCCAACTACCACCATCCCTACCACAACTTCCAATATAGAAAAGTGATTTTAAAAGGAGTCATAGCCCCTCAAGTGCAAAACAAATATTATCTTACAGAAATATGGTAAGTCTTCTTGGGAATGTGAAGCCTATCCAATTTATTATGAAAAGGAAAATTTTAAAAATATTCCCACACAAGTGTATTGGATCTCAAAAATATTAGAATATATTCATTGCACTGTGGCATTCAAGACAGAAAGAAGGCAAGTGATACAACCAATAAAAAGTAATATGACATCTCTCAGTATGTAAATTCTAGACTGGTTCAAAATTGTCCAAAACTAGGAGTAAAACTGGCTTTTAAAATACAGAATGCGGCTGAGTGCGGTGTCTCACACCTGTAATCCTAGCACTCTGGGAGGCTGAGGCGGGCAGATTGCTCGAGGTCAGGAGTTCGAAACCAGCCTGAGCAAGAGCGAGACCCCGTCTCTACTATAAATAGAAAGAAATTAATTGGCCAACTAATATATATATAGAAAAAATTAGCTGGGCATGGTGGCGCATGCCTGTAGTCCCAGTTACTTGGGAGGCTGAGGCAGGAGGATCACTTCAACCCAGGAGTTTGAGGTTGCTGTGAGCTAGGCTGACTCACAGCACTCTAGCAAATGGATCCCTAATGAAGTTATTTACTCCTAGCTGTGTTTGATGAAGCTCTAAATGATATCATTTTGTCACTCTCATTTTGCTGCCATTGACATCCTGCTTTAAAAATATTTTCATTCAGATGTTGAGTTCTTGGTGGGTATGACTTTCACCTTCCCCTTTTCTTGTCAATTGGAATTAGAAGGAGTGTGTATTAGAAGCTAAAGTGGAATGCAAATGGTCACTTAAGTAGGAGAAAATAGTTGAAAGTTGTTTGCTGTTTTTTCCTCAAGAAATAAATCAGCTAGGTGTTTATTTCAAACATGCTAATTAAATAAATAGAGACCATTCTCTCCTTCACATTCCCCAGTTGGCGTTAATAACCAACGGACTTTAGGGATTCTGTTAGCTATGCTATGTAGGATTGAGTTAGCCCAGTTATGTGAAATTGGCATGTTTTCCCCCACACCAGAAAATGCACATTTCCTTCCTGTTGTGTTTTGGGGGCCCCTCTGCAAGATCACAGAGATCCATGCCAAACTCTAACTAAACAGAGGACCTTTTGAAAGAAGGCGGTTGTGTTAAATTAAATTGTACAGCCATGAAGTCAAATGATTTTATCATCCTCCTCAAGGGAAGCCACTCGGCACGAGCATGAATGAACAATTCTCCTTCTGGAAAAGAACCTCCATCTTCATTAGGAAAATCAAAGTTGAGGCAAAATGTAGACAGTGTTGTTTTTTTTTCCCCCTGGTACATTAGCTACTTATGTTTCCTCCTCTTGTGCTTTGATGAGATAGAACCTAAAGTTAAAAGGGGCATGAAAACCCCTACACGCCAGTATCCTCACCCCACTTACAAGAGGGAAGAGTGGGAAGAATAGAAAGGGGAGCAAAGAGAACAGAAAAATGCTTGTTAAAATCCTTCTCCCTACTTTACCAGATTCTAGCATTCAAACATACAATGTCTAGGTGATGGACTCATTTATAACTGGGTAGAATAGAGTACTGATAAATAGATGTAAAGAATAATGTTTTTATTACTTCTTTAGGAAAGTTTGGCTTGAAAATGTTAACAAAGAAAAGGAGCATTTTGCCTCACTTCTCAGGCTGAACTCTCCTTGGACATGGAAATTCCTCTCTCTGAACCTGTTACTTAACATCATCAGCATCTGAAAATCCAATCCTGACTCCAGGGCACTTCAGACCATCTTAGTATCCAAAGAGAAGCCCCCAAGTTGTTAAATGAGAAAGCCGACATTCAAGTGGGTGCGGGTCAGGTGAAATGGCCTATGTCCCTTTCAGGAGGGGTAGAAGGAAGGGTACAAGGGAAGGGAAGAGTGCAGCATAGAGAAAGGACCATGAGACAGAGGATTTGGGAGCTATCAATGTTCTAGTGATCATAGACCAGAGACCTTGGCAAGTCACTTGCTGTCTTTGTAAAATGGTTTTACCATCACAAAGTGATGATAGTCATAAATTTGCTCTCAGAATATGGTGAGGTAAGGAATGTCCTGTGTATCTCTGTCTCTAACTTTGCATTTGGGCTTTCAGCAGAGCAGAAGGACACACTTCTTGGCTCTTATCTTCCAGATCACTACATGCAGGTGCTGGTTTGTCAGCATGAATGCGTGAGGGAACTTGCCACCCGTCCTGGCCGCCTCTCACCCATAGAGAACTTCCTCCCTCTGCACTATGATTACCTGCAGTTTGCCTACTACCGAGGTAAAGCATTGGGCGTCTGTGAAGACCCACTAGGGTTGTGGTTCAGCGTTACAGCCATCGCATTCTTGTAATTTAGTCTTCTGCATTCTTCAGTTTATCATCAAAGCAATGGGGGTTTATGTGTTTTCTGTCTCATCTCACATCCCTGCAGCTCTGGACAAGAAGAGCAGAAGGTGAAACCATAAAAGGGCAAAGTACAGAATTTAATGCTGTGAAAATTTTCTGAAAAATTATACTAAACTGACATGTTATATGGTTTTTAAATTTAATTTTTAACTTAATTTTGATAGATAACATATTCAGAAGGTTTAAATACCAAATACTATAAAAAGTCTCCCTCTCTGTGGCTGTCCCCACAACCCAGTTTCATGCCCTACAACTCAGTTTTTTATTTATACTTCTAAAATTCTTTTACAGAAACAACAAATACACACCTAGTTTTATTTCCCTATGTTTTACACAGAAGGTAGCATATTATTTACACTATTCTCTACATTGTTTGCTTTACTTAATACATGTCAGATTTATTTTAGTAGGTTAGATCTATGAAATTACCATTTCATTATGTCAAAAAATAGATTTTGGCAATTTTATATGGTCCAACTTAACTGTATCAGTACATAGAGATCTTCCTTGTTCATTTTTCTTTATATCTGCATATCATTGCACTATAATTTATTTCATATGTCTCCTAATTGATTGGCAGTTGTATTGTTTTCAATCTTTTGCTATGACAGTCAGTATTCAAATGGATAACATTTTACATATGTCATTTCACATCTGTACACAATATCTATAGTATAAATATCTAAAAGTGCAATCACTGGGTCAAGTGGTTTATTCATTTGTAAGTATGATAGATGTTGCCAAATTTTCCTCCATGTGGAATACATTTTCCATTGCTTATCAACATATTATCACATTTTTAGACATTATCCAATCCATTAGGTAAAAATAAGTATCTAAATGTAGTTTTAATTTCCATTTATCCTATACAGAGAGAGAGAGCTTGAGCATTTTTTCTGATGTTTAAAAGCAATTAATATAATTTAGATTGTTGAAATTGGTCTTAGATATCATGTTGTCTAAAATTTTTAGTCTGTAAAGAAGCAACTTGCTTGAAGTCACCTAGCTTAGTGACAGATCATAATACCTGGCTCATCGTTGTTATTATTGATATTAATGTTTCTCAGTAGCTCCAGCATCAGGCTTCCTTGTATAGAGGTCAGTAGTAAAGAAAATGTTTCCCTTTTAAGATAATAATAAGAAACTGTCTCAAGCCAACATTTGGAAGATACTTTGGCAAAGCCTCTCCCTTTCCAAAAGCAAAACATTACTCATCATCCTGACACTGATGGCAAACAGTAGATTATGTGCTCAGGTCATGAGCAGGGAATGCAATGGAGAGAGCTGCTTTATTTTTATCATTATTTTTAAAAATCAGAGCCAACATGTATATCTGGAGGAAATTTCTTTTAAAAGAAATCTAATATCATGACCTATTTGGAAACAAAACATATAGTATTTAAAAATTCCTCTTGTAATAGCTAGATATTTCTGTAACAAAGAGTTCATAGTTGAAACATCCTTGTTAGTTCCTTTTGGTAGTTTGCTACTGTAGGAGTTGCTGTAGTTACTGCAGTGAGGGGCTAACGGAGGATCCTCCAGAACATGTGGGGCTCTATGAAGGACTTTGCGTGAAAGTACCAATTTACCATTAACTTTGCAGCAATGAGAAATACCACTTTACAATCACTTGTATTACTCACACATTATGTACAAAACAGTACATCATTGTTGTAGAAGATCATCCTCAGGATATTTACTTTAAATTCAGTACAAAAATGTTGTATCTGTATTAAATACTAAAAGTTGTCAACAAACATCTTCAGGTAGAAACTTTTCATATTTTATGCAAAACAACTGGCACCAAAGCAGATTATAGGTAATACCTGTCTAATACCTGAAATCATGTCCCTCCTTTGACTCTTTATGTTTACCCGTTCAGCAGTTTGTCTTCCCTCTTACTCATGTTTGATGCTCTACAGACATGCTGAAGTCTCTCCGGAAACTTTTTGGGCAGACCTAAGCTGACTCTGATGCTGTAACTCATTGGTCTTTCAGTTGGTGAATACGTGAAAGCGTTGGAGTGTGCCAAAGCCTACCTTCTGTGCCACCCTGATGATGAAGATGTCTTGGACAATGTGGATTACTATGAGAGTCTGTTGGATGATAGCATTGACCCGGCATCCATTGAGGCCAGAGAGGTGAGACTGAGACGTTCTGAGAAGAAACTATTCTGCATGTGCTCCGGGAGAGCAGATGAAAATATAACGTGGCTCTTAAAGATACCTAACAATTTTGCAAAGGTTCTAGAACTAAGTTCTTTCAAACTTTAATTATTCATGCCAGAAGCTAATGTTTCTCATACTTGCTAGCTTGTGAAAATCTGTTGAGATAGGGACATTTTGGCAGCTCTGTATATTTCGGTTAGCTCATTAGTCACTATCCAATGAGAAATATTTCTACCTGAACATTTATCGTAGCTCTTACCTGCTATTTAAATAAAATTTTTTCATTATTTTCTTTTCTCTAGGATTTGACCATGTTTGTGAAACGTCATAAACTGGAATCTGAACTGATAAAATCAGCTGCAGAGGGGCTAGGATTTTCATACACTGAACCGGTAAGAGCAAAGAGGAAAGAGAAAACGTTTATTCAACAGACTATTCAGTGGAATTCTTATTTATGTTTTTATTACCCACACTTATTTGTTGAAGATTATAATGCCCTCCTTGAGGTGATAATTGGGGGCATGGAGGTGTTTACTCAATAGATGTGATGAACTTTAAGAGACATTAGTATATGTCTATATCACTGAGATACAAAGTCAAAAGCAAATATATTTGGTAGAATTATTTTGTATATGATTGATTTGCCCTTGTTTTATTTTCCCAAGTTCTGGCTTTGACATTTTATATTTTTCTCTTAATGCTTGTTTGTTACCTAAACCTTTAAGAGACTTCATAAAGAACACCATTAGTCACAATCCTACCCCACTAAGGCTGGTTTTACTCTACTTTTCCATGTTGTCTTCTTATCATTGGTCGTATGAAGACACACCTTTTTCAGAACTAATACTATGATATGAGTAGATTTGTGCTCTGATTTTTATTTAAGACGGTATCATAAGCAATTTCTGTATTTGTATTGCTTTAAAACTTATTTTCGCTACATATATAGAATTGATGTACAATAAATAAATGAACTCTTCTCCTGCTGCTAGACATTTGAATTGTTTCTGACTACTCTATTGTATTTAATGCATTAGGCATTTTTCTCTCTATTGAACTATATTATTCCTTAGAATGAACTTCCAGGAGTAGGATTTCCCTGTCATCAAAGGATATGAGGTTTTAATGTTTCTGAACATAAATTGCCTTCCTCACAGATTTCTCTGATACCATTATTGCCCCTAGTAATGCATAAAAGTACCAGTGTACTACAAATTTCTCAGCAATAAAAAATAACCTTTAAAAATGTATTACTCATATGTTATGTACAAAAATGATACATCAGTGTTGTTTTAACATGTATTCCTTTGATGACCAGCAAAAATAAGCCTTTTCACAGATTGCTAATAGTTTTTTCTTTTCTTTGCGTTACCTAGGCATGGGTTTTGTTCATTTATCCATTGGTTACTATTAATATATAAGTTCTTTATATAATGTAAATATTAATATGTTTGTAAAATCATTATTTGCAATATATGCTATTTCCAACACATTTGAGTTTTTTTATTTCTTTCGTGTTATTTTAGAAATTAGGTTAATTTTAATGTAATATTTCTAATGTAACACTTCTATCATATTTATATCCAATCCTACTTATTTTTAAAAAATTTTCATTACCTTAAGCAACCTTAGAAAATGTCATTTACTTACTTCATGACCTGTACAGATGATTACTCAAGCTAAACATTTTTTTTGTTTTCTTATTTTATTCATAAAACATGAAGGAGTTGGACTCAATGATCTTTCAAATGTCTTTGTGCCATCAAATTCTAATTCATTATTTTGGACAAAAAAGATGGAATTTCAAGCTAATTTCATATTATTTTTTAACCCATTTGTGCTCTATGTTTTCTTTGTCAAACTTGCATCAACTTTAGGATTCCTTTTTATTAATTTTTTAAATAAAAATATATTGTATTTTTATATGATATGCAAGTTTCCTAATATTTCAGGTCGTTTGAAAGTTTTGCATATATTTTATTTTATTTTACCTTATTTCTGTAAATGATTTTTAGTGACAAAATTAGTGTTTTCTTTTTAATTTAAAACAGAATTATTGGATCAGATATGGAGGACGACATGATGAGAATCGGTAAGTCCTGCACTTAGAACACAAACTGTTTATTCTTAATGAGAAGTAATGCTTAGAGTCATAACCTATTATAAGGAGCTTAACTCTGTGAAATAGTCAAGAAAATATAATTATTAATGGAAGAGTTCTGAGCTTTGAACTAGGAGCTCTACATCCTGGTCCCAGCTCTTCTTGTCACTTTTGTGTGACATTGAGTGATGTATCTTCTTCTCTCTGGATCTCATGTTTTTTCCTGAAAAGAAGAGGTTGAATCAGGTGATATTTGAGTGCTAACATTCTGTGTTTGCACATCTAAGTAAGTTGGATGCTATTTTTGATTTATTAATAGAAACTATAAAATGCTCCTTTTGCTGGTAAATTCCCTTACTGTATTTATTTGAAATTAAGAAGTTCAGAAAGTTTTACTGCAAAGTGAAGTATTAGGTGTCACTACTCAATCAGAAATGAAGAGAACTCCTTTTCTAAATGATAGAAGTCAATTTACATGTTTTGAAGAACTCAAATTCATAAAATATCTGAATTATATGTTTGAGATCACATGGTCCAGACTATTTTCAAATTATGAAAATGAAGCCCTGACAAGGCAAGGGACTTGCTTAGCATCCTACCACAAGGAAATGACAAATCCAGATCTTCTTATTCAGGATCTTGAGGTCTTTCACTATGCTTCAAGGACTCAACTCTTGAGTGGCCTAAAATGATTATAAGAGATCCAAAAAATGTATATGCACATTTGGATTTATTAAATCTGTACCTGTTGAAAATGACAGCCTGCTATCATTTGTGTGTTTGCAAAATTTGACACAAACCCATATCTCCTTTCTCAGAATAGTCAAAAACCATTACATTAAAATGTAATTTATTTCAGTTCAACCATTGTTCATGATGCAGTCCATGTTCAAGGCAGCATAAGATACTCTGAGCAGTATAGAGATTCACATGAAAATTTTTGTCCTGCTCTTTTGGCAATAAAATCTAATGTGAAGGGGGTTAAGTTATGGATATAACTAACTGTAGCAAAGGTTGTTAAGAAGATTTAGAGGAGTGAAATAGAGCATACTCACTGAGGAAATAGAGAACTTCAGAGGCAGTGACATTTGATCTTAAAAGATGGGGGGACTTATGTACAGTAAAAATATACAATGTATAATCACAGGCTACTTAGATAAAAGATTATTTGCCTTTGAATATCTTTATTCAATGTGAAATTGCCATTTCAATTTTTTTTGAATGGGCAGGGTCCCTTCAGGAGTGAATGTGGAGGGGACAGAAGTTCATGGATTATCAATGGGAAAAAAGTTATCACCCAAGATAGATCGAGACCTGAGAGAAGGTAAGTACTAGTGCACTTTAACTCTATAAAGGAAAGGAAGGGGAGGAGAGAGCTTGACCAGTTCCTACCCAGATCAAGGAAGAATTTACTTTCTTTGGAAAATAAAAATAGGACTAAGCACTATAATTCATAACAGTCTGAAAGCAAAGCTTAAAAACAAGAATGTCTCAGATTTGTATATTGTTACCTTTTGTTTCCAACAAAAGTACTTCCAAATTCACTCACTCATCTGTTTTCTAAGGAATACTGTTAGTTAGGCAGAGACTGCTTGGTCATCTCCATTCTCAGAATACCTGAGGCTTTGCAAGGTCACAAGACTTCCTTCTGTCACATAGTGAGTCCTAGATAGTGTGGGACAGACTATATCGCAGAGGAACTTGTGGAGGAGATAGGTCACATAAGATAGATGCTAAGGTTAACTAACCTAATAGCGTAGATCTGAGTAGGGCTTTAAGAGAAAGTAGAATAAAGATGGACATCAACAGGCTATGAAGGAAGCCATTCTAGAGTAAAACAAACAGAGCAAAGGTACAAAGAGGGAGCAAGCAGAACATCATGCGCCTACAGACTTAAGATCAAAAGTTGTGGAGATATAGGTGGAACATTGCCAAAAATTGTTTTTAAATGAAGCCAAACATTCTTATAATAATAAACTATTAGCAATGGTAGTACCAACAGCAGTGGTAATTATTAGCAGTTATTATTTCTGTATGTTGTTACAATTTTCCAGCAATTTTACACACTATTTTAATGCAAGTAGCATCTTATGTAAGAAGATTTAGTGACTTCTCCAAAAATATCATAGCTCATAACAGGTTAAGCATGCATTTGAACCTAGACTTTTGGAATCCCATTTGCTCTTTGCTTGCTGCATGGGACATAGAAGTATCTAGATATGTAAATATATACTTTATTGATTAAATCATTGCAACATAAAAAGAAGCTTTCAAACATCCACATTGAGAAGAAGTGCAGCATTTTTATTCCCCAAGAGACTTTGTCAGCACATTCCTCTAGCTGATTTGAAAACTTTTGGCTCTCTACAGCTCTTACATTTCCCATCTATTTCCTTCCTTAGCTTCCAAGTCAGTTTGAAGCAGTAAACAGGATAATATGCTCATCTAATTTGACCTGGACCTCAGTTTGTAGCCACAAAGCCTAAGCTGTTTTACAAGTGCCAGAGAGCCTTGGTCAGCCAGAGTTCATGTTGCTTTTTAAGCTGAGAAATCACCCAGGAAGTTCATGCCAATAAGCCAGCACTTTGCTGTAATGTTTGGGAAACTCCAGGGCAGTTGCCAAATTTCAAAGCTTTTTTTTTTTTTCCTGGCTACCAGGGAATCTGATGTCTAGCAACTGACTGGGAAGGCTAATGGGAAGAGGAGAACAGAAGACTATACATGACAAATAATGGTTATGATTGACTGGGTTACCAAAATGTACCATTTCTGCAGAATTTTCTTAGTTGAATTGACTAATCAATCTTAGGATGTTCCCTGAGAACCTACCAGTCTAAAGGAAAAAAACAGATCATTTTTACCTGCTATACTCTCACACTTGCTACAGAAACTTCTGTGGCTAGATAGTGTAGGGAGGGTTTCTCCACACACCAAGCAATTCTCCAACAGACACCCACTGGGAGTCAAATAATTCAATTCAATTCAATTCTGACACTATCTACCAGGAAATTAGTGTCATGTCTCACAGGTTAAGGGCTCAGCCCCATGAGACTGCCCCCACTACAGAAGCCAATTGCAAATATAACTTGTCACCTATACTTCGGACCAACCTCCTGACCCACTGGATACAAACCTGAGTTCCCACAACCTCCTCCTCGGAATAGTTCAAATAACTCAGAAATACACTTAAATTTACCACTTTTTTATCCAGAATATTATAAAAGATACAGATTAAATCCCAAATGAAGAGGCACATATGTCCATGTATGGGGTCTGGGCTTCTATGTCCTCCCAAGGCAAACCACCTTCCCAGCATCTACACATGTGCAGCAACCTGGAACCTCATCAAATCTGGTTGTTTAAGAGTTTTTGTAGAACTTAAATCTCTAGCCCCCAGCGCAACTCCACACCCAGAGGTCTATGGGGGGGGGGGCAGAAAGTTTTACTTCTCTACTCACTTGGACTTTCTGGTGACCAGCGTGATCTTGGATCTACTTAGGGACCTTAAGTCACCTCATTAGCATAAACTTAGGTATGATCAAAAGAGGCCCATTATAAATAGCAAAAGACACTCCTATCACCCAAGAAATGTCAAGGTTTTATAGGGATTCCGTGACAGGAACCAGGGACAAAAACCAAACATATTTCTTATTTCAGTACAACTGGAAGGACTTCTGTCCAGTCATCAGAGCTATAAATAGGATCTAAATTAAGAACAGTGGTAGAACAAAGCCAGATTCTCACCAGAAAATGCTTTCAAATCTTAGTCTCGCTGAGACTAAGATGTCAGGGAGACAAGCACACATGCGTCACAAAATAAAGTTTATTTCAGCTTTTCTCATCTTCCACAAAGAGATTGTCATCTTCTGTGGTCACCTCACACTGTTTATTATTATAGTATTCATACCAGACAGCTCCTAAGCACTAAGATGGGAGTGACCCAGGCTACATCCCACACAGACGCTAGTCAATGGACCATGCATGGTAGCTTACTAAAAATATTTCTCTCACTTGTCCATTCTCCTCTCAAACCACCAGTTCTCCAAAAGTCATGCTTCATAATGGTTCCACAGTCAGTCGGAGTATAGCAGAAATAACACTGAACTTGGAATCGGGAGATTTAGTTTTTGGAATTTTCTTAGTCTGATGTGCTCCACAGTAAAGAAGAACTAGAGACTCAATCTTTCTGGGCCCTGCAATGTTTATCTGTAAAAGAAGAATGATAACTTTTTTGGGATGGTAACCATGAAAAGTTTTTTGTAAACTGGAAAGGGCTTGTAAGTCTGCACACCCCCATCATACCTTTTGTAGTGTTATGATATTTTTGGTAAAATGGTTCTTATTGCCATGAGCTACAGGCAGTGAGCACAAAGGAGTACTTTTCTAGATGAGCCCTCTTTGTCACCACTGGTGAGTCAGAGCCAGACACATACTTTATGAATGAGAGAAGAACTAAGTTGTTTAACTAAACCTTCTTGAGCTGTGGTTAAAAATTGGCTGAAGCCATCAAATCAGGCCCCAGGAACCACAACTTATTGGACTACATTTTTATTTTCCTTTTAATGATTTTCTCTGTCTGGTGTGCTACTAGTCAGTCAGCTGTAGGCTGATTGACTTGCTTTTTGAATGACAGGGTTTACTTTTTCCTTTTTTTTTCTTTTTTTGGTTAGTGGATGGGTAATTGGTTGTTTTTTTAAATATATGTGTGGGAAATCTTTAAATATATGTGTAGTGAATCTTTTTTCCTAACTAGACTAAATACTTAGTGCTCTTCCTGAGGTTAACTAATCCATTGCATAGAGATAAAGCAGACATCAGTTTCATTTGTCTCTTCTTCCTAACAGATGTGTTTCAGACCAACATGTTGGTGACCTTTGGTAGACTAAGTGTGGGGAGGGAGGAGTTGTGTGCCTTTCTCACTCCTAGTCCTTTTTTGGTGAACTTTTGCTACGGACAAGTGCATATTAGGACCCTTAGGAGTATTATAAAGAGTAAAGAAAGCACTGTTTTCTTTTCTGTTCAGTTTTCTGGTTTAAGATGTTTGCACTCTGCTACACCTGAAGATTTCCTCAACATCTGAGGCTTTGTCCTTCAGTTCTACTCTATGAGGAAAGGGCTTTGTCAGGTCGGGATTTTATAATTTCACAACTTAAAATGTGATCCCAAAGCACCACCCTCTGAAGAGCCTATATCGGGCTAATTTTGTAAAGCTGATTTTTCAGGCTTTCTCCAGGCAGAGAGCTGGTGCCTACAGGAAACCCTCCTGTGCAGAAAAAAGAACATAAAGTATTCCTCCTATGCAGAGAAAAATACTCTAAAAGCAAGACCACTTATAGTCAGTTAAGCAGTAGGAAGAAGACTGAGAAGGAGTCAAGTGACTTGCATGTGACTACCTGAATTATCTGGTGAAAGCATCACTCTAGGTACTAGTGAAACTGAGATGTGTGCTTCATGCCTTGGAAACACAAACATCTAATCAAATAGTTGCCCGTGATGTTGTAACAGGTATAAATAAGAGACTGCAGAGAGGGGTAAGTCTTCTCAGAGGAGAATCCTATGAGATGCCCAGTCTACTTTTCAGGATCATCATTGGAATCAAATGTAAAACTAGTTTATCCATCCCAAAATACCATGTGAATATAAAAAGTCTTATGACTTTATGGAGAAACCTGGTAGTCAACCACATGTCTTTTTCCTGAATCCCTAATATGTTTGTCAAGCTTCCTAATTTGTGATGTGTCTTTGCATTCCTAAATATTGATGAGGAAATTGACTCTGTCAAATGGTACATTGAAAGCTGTTGGGTACTTGTGCTTCCCTCCTTGGGGACAGAGGTAACAGGGAAGACAATGTGCTGTGACCTTTCAGGTGGTCCTCTGCTCTACGAGAACATCACGTTTGTGTACAACTCAGAGCAGCTGAATGGGACTCAGCGGGTTCTCCTGGATAACGTCCTGTCGGAAGAACAGTGCCGGGAGCTCCACAGTGTGGCCAGTGTGAGTACGTGGAGCGGGAAGGAAGCCAGATGAGGGTGGCCTGGAGGTGCTTTGGTCCTGGTCTCATCTGGAGTCAGGGAACAAGATCTGAAATCTCACTTTATTTAGGAGAAGGACATTGATTGTCATGGAAGCACTTCCATAGCCTTTGTGTCGGGATGCTTTTAGTTTTTCCAGGTGGGATCTGCAATAGCTAATGGCTTAATTCCTAGGATGACAGGCACATTCCCTGCCTATCATATAAAGTCACTGGGAAAAGTTTTTATTTTAATCAATAATTAACCAGTATATCAATCATTTACATTCTATTTATTTCCATAAAATATGACAATATTTTATAATAAAAATGTAGAGTGAAGATAAAAAAAGATATATTTTTTCACATTGCAAAAATGTGGAAACAACCCAAGTGTCCATCAATACATGAGTGGATTAATAAAATATGGTTTATGAATACTATGGAATACTACTCAACTACAAAAACAATGGTGCTTTAGCACCTCTTACATTATCCTGAATAAAACTTGAGCCCATCCTTCAAAGTGAGTTATCACAAGAATGGAAAAATAAGTACCACATGTACTCGCCAAAAAAATTGTTATTAATTGATCAACACTAAGGTGCTCACATGGTAGTAATATTTATTGGGTATTGGTCATGTGAGGGTAAGGGGGGGTAAACTCACAACTAATGAAGACAGAGTGCACTGTATGGGGGAAGGGCATGCCTCTAGCCTTGGGTTGGGTAAAGCAAAGGCATTACTTGTAACCAAAATGTTTATACCCCCATAATATTCTGAAATAATTAAAAAAATATTTATCTTTTTTCATTGGATTAAATAATTATATCAGGATCCTGGAATAAAATGGGATGATTGTGGGTATTGAGTATAGTTTTCAGCTTTCTGGTAGTCAAAGAAGAAAGAGAAACTCATTGAATTCATAGTTATCATTGATACAATATCTTCTTGTATTTGCTTCTAGGGAATCATGCTTGTTGGAGATGGATACAGAGGGAAAACTTCACCCCATACACCCAATGAGAAGTTTGAAGGGGCAACTGTCTTGAAAGCGCTCAAAGTAAAGTCTTCACTTCTTTAGGGTTTGGGTTTTTTTGTGTCAATCCAGGGCTTCTGTAAATGTTAGATACAGGAAAGAGAAAAGTTTATAATATATACATATCAGGACAGTTGTCGGAAAAAAATGAATGAAACCTTAATTGTTTTTAATCATTTCTTCATTCAGCCATCAATTTATCAAAATTTACATTTCCTAAATCTGTACCTGGCCAAAAACATACAACCTCTGTCCTTAAGGAGCTCATGATCTAATAGTGCAAATATACCCAAACAAGTAATTATCCTCTGCTGCAAGAAGGGTTGTTAGAGAGGAATGTAGAACAAACATACTGTGATAGAAGAGAAGAAGGAGCAATTAGCTTTTAGCTTTCCCTCTGTGATGGGAAGACCTTATTCTAAAGGCTTATTGGCCTAACCAAAATCCAGAAGCATGTAGTAGTATTGCCCTGATTCCCTTAGTCAACACAAAGATGATCTTATGCTGCCTTAATGACACCTAGTGCCTGCTTTTCTCAAGTCCTCCAATCAACTCAATGGTTTCTCATGTTCTTTTTTTTTTTGTTTCAGTTTGGTTACGAAGGCCGAGTCCCACTGAAGAGTGCCCGTCTGTTCTATGACATTAGTGAGAAGGCGAGAAAAATTGTAGAATCCTATTTTATGCTGAACTCAACCCTGTATTTTTCCTATACACACATGGTCTGCCGAACAGCCCTGTCTGGTGAGATTACAAAGTCTGAACTTATTCCCTTTAACTCACAATGCAGTGGGAAATAAAATAATGCAAAACAAAGCTCTATTGCATTTTAGACGAGTTCTACATTTCTAAAGCAAAAGAAGCTTACGGACTCTTATTTTCCCCACCCTTCTTTTTCTGCTTTTTGGTTCTCTAAAGTTCCAAAAGACTGTATGTTTTCCATTTGAAATTAATTTTTCCTAATTGGTGAAGTCATGCAGAAAAAAAAATGCTTTTCTGCTGTAGGTTTCCCTTTTGGGGGAATGAGGAACAGGAAAATTACAGTGGCCTCTATTCCACAAGCACTGAGTGGAAACATAGAAGATGAAAGGGTTATTGAAAGAAATGTTCTCAAAAAGGCAGAGACCGCTACAGTCTCTGCTCATCATTGTTCCTTCTTTATGTCTTCTCTTCCACCCATCTGAATAGGAAGGGAAGGATAATGTCACAGGAGTAGACTTTTATACTTGTTAAATTGCAGCTGAATCAAAATCTTTTTTATTTCATCTTTATCCTTTTGTTACCCACGTGAAGTACAACCCATGAAATGCATGAAAATTGTAAATGTATTAATATATTAGAGAATTAATATATTAGAGAATTTTTATAGCTGAAGAGACAGGTATGACTTGCCCAAGGTTTCACATCAAGTTCATATCAAAACAGACAGAGTCTCTTGACTGGTTGTCCACTGTTCTTTCTCGTATTCAGTCTTCTGTCTCTCTACATTTGCAAACGACACCAGGAATAGAAGACTGGCAGATTGTCAGGTTTTTTTTGTTGGAAGTTACTGCACTTTATCTCTCATTCTTCTTTGTACCCTTTTATGGCAGGTCAACAGGATAGAAGAAATGACCTCAGTCATCCCATCCATGCTGACAATTGCCTGTTGGATCCAGAGGCCAATGAATGCTGGAAGGAGCCTCCCGCCTACACATTTCGAGACTATAGGTACAGCGAGCAGCTGCTCAAAAACAAGGTTTTACCCAACAGTTATCAAAACCCAAGGAAACTGGAAACTGGAAAGCTGCTCTCTTTTGCTTGTCGTCATGTTCATCTCTGTGAAGCAGGGATTCTCAAGTAATCCACTGAAGCAGCTGCCATAACTGAGAAGTGATATTATCATTTCATTTTTATGTTAAAAATCAGGCATATGCTACATCCTACACTGCTTGTCCATTTTGTTTTGATATAAAAAGTAAAATTTATTTTTTAAATTACTTAGGGGTCACTGAAACATAATCTTTGTGGTATGTGTATCTCAGTCTGAGACTACAAGGGCATGGCATCTCAATACATATAGGTATCTTATCACCTTGCTTATCTATTATTCATACCCATGGAGAATTTTGTGTACATTTTATAAATAACAAACAAAAACTCAGGAGAAAATAATGTTTTATCTTATTGAAAGATATTTTAGTGTGTAAAGAGTCAGGAGTTTTAGTCACCATGTATGGAACTGTGTGTTAATTATTACTACATGGTGCTCTATTCAGAAACACTTATTTGAGCATCTTTTACCTGTAAGACTTAGCTAGATCCAGCTTGTTAAGGAAAAAAGATACATCTTTTAGAGTTGCTGTTATATAAGTGAGTACAAGAGTTATATGTAGTGTGGACAGGTTCAGAGAGCTAGATTAAAGTAAATCTAGTTAGATTTTCTGTGGAGGAAGTGAAATGTAAGATGAGCTTTGAAATATGATTCAAATTTTAATGTAAGTGAAATAAATAAATACTTTAGGGGTATAACTCAAACTATATCTGATTTTCTCTTCAAGAGTTTAAAGGGCCAATTATTTTGATGTCTAGCTCAAAGGACACTTACTAAACAGTCTGGTCAGCACATCACCAGTCTTCAGTATTCTATGACCATGCTGTTGTAAGCACACACATGTACAAATGGTTTTCCCTTTCTTCTCATAGTGCTCTCCTGTATATGAATGATGACTTTGAAGGAGGAGAATTCATATTCACTGAGATGGATGCTAAGACCGTGACTGTAAGTAAACCAATCCTGCAAATTTATTTAGTACTCTTTATCTCTGCCACTTTTCTAAGGACTCACAGACTGTTGTATGTCAGATACTTCTGAGCTCAAAAATTCAGCAGGTAGAGAGATTCCCAGTAAATCTATAGATCATAACTGTTGGAAATGGAAACATCCATAAAATTTTTCTAGTCCATCACTAGGATGGGTAAATTAAAGACTAGAGATATTATGCATTTGATCATGATCATGTAGCTAGTTAATGTTAGACTTGGAACCAACACATAGGTCTTCTGATTCTTTGTCAAATAATATAATGGAAACATAAAACATTGGTTCCTTAAGTCATCCAAGTCTAGATACGTCAAATGATTCTACAGAATGGCTTTCAAGTGACCTGGTATTCTACATAGTTGGGTTGATCATTGGCTTCAGATACCTAGTTACCAAAATTATCATATGTGTGCATATACACACATATGTGTGTATGTATGTGTGTATATATACAGATAGACATATATGTATATACCTGTACTTGACAACTGATACACATACACGCACACAAATAGGTAAATCAAAAGTTATATTCAATCACTATCTTCCTAAGCAACCCAGTGCCTTTAGAAAAACAGCCTATTTAGCACTTAAAGACCATCTAGTTAGCATCCTTTTGTCTTTAAGCCAAAGAACACACACACTGGCAGAAAACAGGTTTTCCAATTGAAGAAATAATCAAATTTTAGATTATGAGGTATCTTTTTCCACCATACAAAATTTAAATCGTGGGATATGTATGTGATAAACTTCAAAGTTTTGGCACTATATAAGCTATTTCCAAAACTTTTCCTGAATTTTATGCTTTTCTCCTCATAGCTTGCATGCTTTTCTCAGTGGAAAAACTTGTATCATTCCAACACACAAATACTCATGAAACACTACTGAGACATAAGCAGGTAATATTAAAAACTATGTATTACTGAGTTTAAAGGTGATTCCTATGGGGATTCTGGTTAAAATTGTCTGGAAACATCGTTATAATTAAGAAAAATGCAATCTAATACATTAATGTATGTTTAAATGGTCATGATATCTCACTTTTGGGGAAGAGCTTAAATATTGATATGGTAGTATTTTAATACTTCATAATCTGGGAAATTAAATCAAGATTGATGACCTGGGTTGGAGTTTAAAATCCCTACGCAAGATTTTCACCTCTGGAGGAGCTTGTATGTAGAAAGAATTTGATTTCTGAGCTCTGCTAAGATGAAACTGAGGTATAAAAATGCTGCAATATCACAGTTTAAAAGAAAAACCAAGTGTTCATCAATACATGAGTGGATTAATAAAATGTGGTAAATGTATACCATGGAGTTCTATTCAACCACAAAAATCAATACAAGAGCACCTCTTTTATTATCCTGGGTAGAGCTGGAACCCATTCTACTAAGTGAAGTATCCCAAGAATAGAAAAACAAGCACCACATGTACTTACCATCAAATTGGTATTAACTGATCAACACTTAAGTGCATACATAGCAATAACATTCATAGGATGTCAGGCAGATGGGAGGGGGGCTGAGGGGATGGGTATATACACACCTAATGGGTGCAGTGTGCACCGTCTGGGGGATGGACACGCTTTGAAGCTCTGGCTCAGGTGGGGCAAGGGAAATATACGTAACCTAAACATTTGTACCCCCATAATATGCTGAAAGAAAAAAAAAAAAAGTAAAGAAAATCAGACAGGTGGTTGAAAAGATTTCCTTGCTTTGCCTCCATCTAGTGGCTATATTTGGAAATGCATATATTTAAAAGCAAGTGATGGCCTCAGTTTCATTAATTGTTGAATGTACGCTAACTGGAATTCTGCTTTTTAAAGATGTGAAAGCAGATAATATTTCCATTTTTGAGTTTATAATTTTAAGAAAAACATGTAACTATTTAAAAAACATTGAATCTAGCTCACTCTGGAAAAATGTAAAGGAGAAACTGATTTAAACAATTTTTAATACAAGAGCTTTAATTTGAGAATATTTATTTTCCCAAATCAGTTATACTTTATATTAATGCATACTATAGAGTTTTAAGGGAATTTTATAGATAACTAAAATTCTGAGGTAAGTCAGTTCTTACCTCTTTCCCATAGGAAATGTATTCCAGTGCCAATAGCAAAGGGCAATGGGTAGTTTTCTGTGTTGGCTTCCCTTCTTTGGCTGTGGAGGGATGAACGGAGCAGGGGAATGGTCTAACTTGGGGCCACACAAGAAAGTAAAGTCTTCTAAGTCCTTTGCTTTGGGAAAAGTCTGGTGGCTGAATGTTTGCATTTATTCAAGGCAAGTGTAATACAAATGTTTCTCTGAGTCTTAATCAGTTAGATGGAAAGTAAAAGGAATTGTAAAAATCACACTTAGAAGATAGTATGCATAGAAGATACATGGGTTATTTTTAACAGTAGTATTTATTTGTGAGACATGAGAATTAAGGGATTTTGGCTTCTCCAGACAAATTTGAAGAAGATAAAATTTAATGAGTCCCGTGTGCTTCATGAAAAATTAAGTTCCGTATGAATGGGGATGTGTTTGCAAAGTATGTTTACAATCATTTATTTAAACTTGAGAATATATGTTCCTGTAGAAATAATGTCACAAATAGAGACAGGTTCGCTAATATGTGTTTATTCTTCCACATACCTGGCATATAACGGGTGGATACTCCCTGTTTGATGAAATTAGTCTTAGAGATCCTTTCGAACCCACAGACCTATAATCAATTCTAATTGCTTCAGGCAGTTGATAGCTTTTTTTTTTTGTCTTAAATTTTCCCAAAGTTCTTAATGTTTAAAGATATTTTCAGTTCTTCTAACTCCATTAGAGAGAAAACATTAAATTGTTCCCACACCCTTTCTGTAATACTGTAAGATGTTACCAAGACTTGGTGGTCGCACAGAGGCACTGGCAGCCGTGTGGTTGAGTTCCTCCTGAACAGCACCAGGTAGCAGGCAGCCCAGAAAACCTGAAATTCTAGATCCCAAGGACATTTACTAGGAAGACTTCTCTATCCTACTTCATACATTTTAAAGGTCACTTATTTTTCTGTTTCTTTGTGGAAATGTACAAGTTCCTTCTCCAGATAAACAGAATCAGATTGATACTGAGGACACTGGTAACTAGTTAATTCTCTAGATTTACATCAGAAAAGTTGCCTGGATAAAGATGTTTAAGAAAAGCGACTCTAGCGTTGCTCACACCTGTCATCCTAGCACTCTGGGAGGCCAACGTGGGAGGATTGCTTGAGCTCAGGAGTTCGAGACCAGCCTGAGCAAGAGCAAGACCCCATCTCTACTAAAAATAGAAAAAAAATTAGCCAAACAACTAAAAAAAAAAAAAAATAGAAAAATTTAGTGGGCATGGTGGCACATGCCTGTAGTCCCAGCTACTCAGAAGGCTGAAGCAGGAGGATCACTTGAGCCTAGGAGTTTGAGTTTGCTATGAGCTAGGCTGACACCATGGCATTCTAGCCCGGGCAATAGAGTGAGACTCTGTCTCAAGAAAAGAAAAGAAAAAAGAAAAGAAAAGAAAAGATAAGAAAAGAAAAGAAAAGAAAAGAAAAGAAAAGAAAAGAAAAGAAAAGAAAAGAAAAGACTGTAGCAAAGAAAACTTATTTTTCAGTTATTGTGAATAGGAGAGTATCAAGACACTGACTGCTTTTTTTCTGCTCTTTCTTTTAACATTCACACACAATACACGTACATGCACACATATGTACACATAGGCACACACGCAGACACATATAGGAACACAAATACCCACATACATATGCATGCATAGGCATATATGCACACACCTGGGTTTTTGACTTTTTGACTCCTTCACCTACCTTTGACCTTCCACATGTAGTCATATAGTTGGGGACTATGTATGTTATTATCATCCAAGGACTTCAGGAAATTTTTCAAATATTCCTCCTGAAGCTAGCAGTTGAAAAACAGCCGTCTCACTTCATGCACAAAGAAACCAAAGGTTCTTCTAATGGGCATGTATCAACTCAAGTCAATTCAAAAATAGCTAGTTAGAAAGGGCCTATCTTATCACAATAAAAAGGCTAGTATTACTTTTCCGCTTTTACTTCATGTTTCTAAGCTCTTCCATAGAATGAGTGGGGCTTCTATATTTACCAAGGAAGAAAAATTGACTTTATTCACATCAGACACTTCTTTTAACACAGAATCAAGTCCCCTAATATTCAATTGCTTAAGCTCACTCAACTTAAAGAACCTGCTTGTGTGATCTTACACCCTGGTTCAATGTGCCCAGCAGTATTTCTGTTAGTCTTACTATACTTTTCTACTTAAATACTGTGGACAGCTCCACCTGAGCAATGCACAAGCTTGAAAGTCCTGTTTCAATCATCTCAAAACACTTGGAGGTAATGGAATAGGCCACCCACTGGGCTAGTGTGTTTTCATCACTGGAGGTATTCAAACAATGCCAAAATGACCACTGTGAAGGAATATTTTAAAGGGAATTAAATATCACATGGGATTACTTTTCAAAATCTTTGTATTGTGAAATGTATATAACCATAAATATATAATTTAGGAATTAGAAAGCGTGTGCACCCATGTACCCACTACTGGGATAAATTATAGAACTTTCCCAGCACTCCATATGTCCTTTTTTTTTTTTTTTGACTTTGCAAATATTGAATGTACACCTACCCGGTATCCAGATGCTTTGCTAGTGTTAAAGCTAAAGGAGTGAATTGAAAGCGAGAACATTTGCCTTGGAATCTGCAGGCTTTCAACATAGCGTGTATTGAACTATGTGCATGGACTTTGCCACACATTTCACATGAAACGTCTTACTTTCTGAGGTAGATATTATTTTGACCTTATTTTTATTGCACAGATGAGAAAATTGAGACAAGCTATGTCTTCTTCAACCCCAGGATTCCATTATTCTTTGATTCAATCCTTAACTCAAATAATTCCATAGAAGGCTGGGGGGAGGGGGTTGTAGAAATGTTTATGATATAAGAATTGAAAGTCTAATTTTATTTCTCAGGCCTCCATAAAACCAAAGTGTGGGCGTATGATCAGCTTCTCGTCTGGAGGAGAGAACCCTCATGGGGTGAAGGCGGTCACCAAGGGCCAGAGGTGTGCTGTGGCTCTGTGGTTTACCTTGGACCCGCTGTATAGAGAATTGGTGAGTTCCTGACCCACTCACAAAGCCAATTAAGCTTGCTTCATGAACTGATTTATCTGAAAAGTCCTTTAAATTGTTCCGTAACCCTTCAGGGACATTAGAGATCATGACAAACCTTTTACGGGATACTTTCTCGTTTCTAACACTGGCACTGTTTTCTAAGCAAGAGCAGGTTTTTCTGATCAGATCCATGGCCCAGCCATCACTCATCGAATTTCTGTAGTGTGAATCTGAGGAACAGAAGAAGGATTATAATGGCAATTCTCAGTCAGATGTGTTCTGATCAGTGAAGGTGTTTGCAGAAATAATGTGATATTTGGCAGTCACCAATCAGTCTTAAGCGTATTAACAACTGTAATAGCAGGAGAACAGGATCATTTGCTACTGCTCACAGGGAAGACTGACTTGCTTTCTCAGTAAATCATTAAAAAGAACTTTGAATCATTTAGGAAATATGTGAAAGAGCATGAGGGAATAGGAACAATTATGATTATTAATTTAAATATTATAATATTATTATTATGTTTGAAGTAGCTGAGGAAACTTATCTTGGATAAGAGACCATGATCTCATCTATATGGGTGCCCTTGGGCATAGGTTATGGACTCTGTGAAGCTGCAGAGGCAGGCATTAAGACCAATGGGTTTGGGTAGAAGCCCCTGGGAGGAAAATTTGGGCACCACATAAGGAATAACTTGCAAATAGTCGCCACAGTTTGGTGGAATTGTTTGTTCTGTTAAGTACTGCTTAGATGGCTCCCATCAAACCCAGGCCACTTCTTGGCATGGAATGCTGATGTCAAAACCAAAGCATCATAGCTGGGGCTGAACTGGATAACTTCAAAGTCTTCTCCAGCCCCAAGGGTTGACGAAACTATGAAATTCTGTGATCAGAAATGGCATTCTAGCCAATTTTCCTTTTTAGGTCCCTAAATTGAATCTAATTTTATCAGAAACTCTTTAAAAATAATGTTTTTTACTCATATACTTTTCACTATCAAACCTAACTCACAGAGCTTTCTGCTTATTATTCCCTAAGCATTCTTTCATATGTTTTACAAAAAAACCTCTTATGCCCTATTACTCTGCAGAAGATCTGTTATGTGCCTGGGGAACTCTGCCAGCAGGCCCTAGCAGTAGTGTGCATTTTGTAGCCAGGGAATGGAGGAACGTAAGCTCAGGCCTAAAAGAGAAGACCACAGCCAGGCACAGAAAGAGAAAGAACATCCCTGACAAAGGCAACAGAGCAGAGTTCTGAAAACGTCAAGGGGCACTAAACAATCTTCTTCACTTTCCGAAAATGTCAAGGGGCACTAAACAATCCTCTTCACTTATGATTCCTTTCTTTCCTTGTGTTTTCCATCTCCAAAATGCCAGCATTCCCTCAAAGCATTGTTTTTATACTAAAGAACCTAGGTAAATGAGTAGACAGTGAAAATAAATTGTTGAAAAATCGCCTCACTATTTCAGTATTTGATTCAGCAGACATTGAATCTATTTTATTATTCATTACCCAAACTGTCTCTTCCAAGGTTTTGTTCTATCAAAATGAGCTAACACAAGTAAGTTCTCTTTGCTCCTTTCTAATCAGGAAACATTAAAGCCACTGTCCCCTCCTCTGACAGAAAAGTACTGGATGACTTCTCCAGTTTTCAGGCAGTAGTGACATCTAGTGGCAATAATATCAAATGACCAGAGCCGCTTCACTAATAAAAAATTTAGCCTATGCTGTGATTCACATGCTTTGCAACACATTGGAATCGTCTGGAGATCTTTACAAACTACTAACATCTGGATCCTACCTTCAGAGATTCTTATTTTATTGATATGCAATATTATCTGGGTGCCAGGAGTTTTAAAAGTTCCCCAGGTGATTCTAACATACTGCAGAGTTTGCGAGTCCCTGGCTTAAATGCCTTTTCTTAGTTTGAATCCTTGAGCAAACAAATCTTGCCAATGAACAAGTCATTAGAGCTGGCAGATTCTCATGCTTATTATAGATTATTTTAAAGGCACTCAATTCTCAAGGAGTATTTAGCAATATAAACTCTGAAGGATGCAAGGATATTAAAAGAATTTATATATATATATATATATTCCAGCTCTTGAATTTCTTTCCCTTCATGAGAGATATGATTGTAATAGTTTCTTGTGGCCAACAGATGTGAAAGCTTTGTATGTGTGCCAATTTGTTAAACATCAAGATTGTTCTCCGCTTATAAAGTAGCACTCAGGCTTTTTACTTAGATATGACAACAATTTAGTTTTCTGGTGTTAGTGTATTTGGTCCTTTTAGTTGCCTTTATGTCAATGTCATTTTCAATTACAAGCTCTTGCATGAAAGAGGTTTTGTGTTGAAGTCATAAAATAGTGACTTTTATAACTTACTGTGCTGAGCACTGTGCTAGAGACTACCCGTGGAGGATGCAAACTAGGTAAAACAAAACCCCTGTTTTCAAGGAGCTTGAAGTCAAATTGGAGAGATAACACCAGGGCCCACGTAATTAAAGAACAAGGCAAAGTTAGGTGAGAATTGTTAACAGTAAACACATGGTTTAGGCGCAGGGGTCCTCAAACTTTTCAACAGAGGCCCAGTTCACTGTCACTCAGACCGTTGGAGGGCCATTGGAGAGTGCAGCGCACATTCCACACATGCGCACTGTGGGCCTGGGACGAGTCGGCTGCTAAGCAGGACAGGCAGTGGTGGCAGCAAAAACACCTGGAGGGCTGGATAAATGTCCTCGGTGGCAGCCCATGGGCCATAGTTTGAAGACCCTTTTTAGGGGATAAAAAGATGCAACCAAGAAAGGCTTCCTTGTATAGATTACATTTGAAATAAGCTTTAAAGGAGGAGTAAGTTTTTTTTTAGGGAGTGACATTTTAGACAGAGAAAGCCTTCATCCATTTACATATTTATTCATCAAGTACAATGGAGCCCTTGCCAAATGTCTGTAGCTTTTCTGAGCACTGGAAATATGACAGTGACCAAGAAGATAAGATTCCCTGGCAACATGGAGCTTATATTCTAGTAGAAGTAGGAGATAGACAAGTAAGCAAAACCAATTAATACATGAGAGATGTTCAGATCTTGATAAATAATGGAATAAGGCAACTCATTGGAGAGTAAAGTCGGGGGTGGAAAGCTGGGAACCTCTCTGAACAAGTGACATGTGAATTGCAACCTACATGGCAAGAGGAAATTGACTAAGATAAATGTCTGCAGAAGAGTATTCCAGGCAGAGGGCAAGTTGCAAAGGCCCAGAGAAAGAGGGAGTGTGGAGTGGTCAAGAAACAAAAAAGGCCAGAGAAGCTGGAACGTGGCATACAAGAGGGAGAGTATTATGCAAAGAGGATACAGAGGAGGGGCCAAAATCTACAGGCTGGTTAGAAAATGTGAATTTTATTCTAACTGGTAGGAATTCATTGTGGTTCCCCCATGTTGCTCCCCCAGGCTGGGGAGTTAAAGGATACAAAGACTGCTTTAGTTCACATGTGGGCTTAGACTAGAGTAATAGACTAATTAGAATAGAGAAGATGAAAAGATGCAAAAGGTTTGAAATGCAATTGAAGGTAGACCAACTGGCCTTGCTGATGGATTGATGTGAGAAATAAGAGAACATGGAATATATAATGGGATTATCCAGAGAAGCATTTAATCTAAGACTGTGGAATTCTTGGAGTGTTGTGTTCAGAGAACTTGAGGTAAGTTAGGAAGTTGAAGTGTAAGATAAGAAGAGGGAACAAGACAAAATCAGGCTGAAGAAGAGAAAAACATCTGAATCAGGCAACTTCTTATAAGCACACGGAGAAAATTGGACCTGGAACTTCAAGCAATGGGAGCCCAGTAAAGGGTTGTGAGCAGTGAGCAGGAAAGTGATATGGTCAGACTGAAGTGAACAGGATTCATCAGAAGCATGTGGGGGTGTGTAGTGGAACAGGGAGACAGCAGCAATTGAGTTAAGAGATAATGAGAGCTTAAGCCAGCAGCTCTCAAAATGGAGCAGTTTTGTCCTCTAGGGGACATTTGTCAAAATCTGGAGACATTTTTGGTTGTCATGATTTCAGGGGAGGTGTTATTGGCTACTTGTGTCAGGTAAAGAAGGTAAGGATATTGCGGAACATCCTACGATGCACCGGGCAGCCCCTCACAACAAAGAATTATCTAGTCTAAAATGTCGATAGTGCCAAAGCCGGGCAACCCTGGCCTGCACTAAGGCAACAGTAACATGCATTGAAGAGAAAGGGGCCGAAGTCAGAGATAGAACAGAGAGGACTAGGTGGCATCAAATGCAAGAAACCATGGTCAGGCTTTTAAGGCAAACGGGGAAGCAGCGTTGGTCTTTACTGAAAGAGAGACTATGCAAAGGACAGAGTAGGTCTGTAGGGAACAAAATGGTGCATTTAGTCTGAACACTGAACTGAGTTGGAGATGTCTATGAGGTCATGAAGTACGAAGAGTTGTAAGCAGTTGCACATACAATACTGCTTTGCAGGAGAGGAATCCTAGAGAGTAATTGCTTAGGACATAGCATGTCAGGAGAAGGCACCAGTCTGGGGATGAAGATGAGGTTTAATTTTTAACTGGAGTTAGCACCAATCCATGTACAGATGGATGCCAGGAAGTGTTTGGGAAGCATCTGCTGCTGGGACTGAGTATTATGCTTGTAACAGAAATGTGTAAATTGTCTTTTTTGCAGGAGCGAATACAGGCCGATGAAGTTATTGCAATCCTGGATCAAGAACAGCAAGGGAAGCATGAACTGAATATCAACCCTAAAGATGAGCTATAAAATGAGAAAGAATGTTCTATCAAATATTTATTTAAATTGTTAATCTTATGAGAACCTTTTTATTTTTGTACAGAGCCGTGGTATAAATTAACGGGTTAATACGAGTCATCAGATCTCTCTTCTTTTCCTAAGGATACTTGCTGTGCCTCACTTAGTCTATCTTTCTTGGGTTTCCCCTCCCCCATCTTTTTAGAGCTGAGGTCTTGCTATGCTGCCCAGGCTGGAGTGCAGTGGCTATTCACTGGTGTGATTACACTCTCACACTCCTAGGCTTGAACAATCCTCCCATCTCAGCCTCCTGAGTGGCTGGGACCCCAAGCGTGTGCCACCATGCCCTGTTCTCTTTCTTGGTCTTTCATCAGTTTATCTATAAAAGCCCAGTCACTGCTACCCAACACACACACACATACACACACACACTCACAGTTACACTCTTAATTTGCTGCAGATCCCAAAACTCAAACGGAGAGAATAAGCTTGTTCTTGGTGAAACTACAGCTCTCATGCCTCCTCCAGTTCTAGTTAGCATGTGATTTGGTCTTAGAAGCCCTCTCTGGCTGTTAGCCTTTCATTCCCGTCCTCTCATGGTGCTGACGGCCGTGAGCTCTGACCCTCCAGAGTCAGCTCAGCTTTGGGACTAAGGAGCCCCTGGCAGAGTCCGCACTGCCTCAGGTATCACAGGCATAAAGACATGGAGGCTTCAGGCAAAAAATATTTCTCTGATGATAACTGCATAAGACAGAGGGGCCTTCAGTCTTTCCAGGGCCTTGGTGGCATTTTTGGCTCTGGTGTTTTCACCAGGGAATAAACTTACACTGGAAGCTTCGATTCACCCTCCACAGTGCTCCAGAAAAGACTGTCCTGTGAGTTGTATATTTTGAAAGGTCACATGGAGGTTGAAGTAGAATGACTCTTTACCCCAATAACTTTGTAAGAAAATCTTTACTACCACCTGGATCAGGGCATCATTGCCGGGTCTCCTGTGAGTGACATCCACTAGTGAAATGGGGTGTTTTTGTATTTAAGTATGAAAAATAAACTTCCAATTGATTTTCATCTTCATCTGCATATGTTTTGGTGGCCCTCCTCATTGCTGCTATCCAGCACACAGATTCATGCTCATGTCTCATTTGATCAATAAAGGGAGCCTTATTTTAATATCTGGCATTGATTTTTCTTCTCCCAAATGTTTGGTTTATCTTTACAGAATGGTTTTTTGATCTCACAGGAGCTTTGGCACAACCTAGAGGCAATGGCGGGCCATGACTAGTTTTGCTGGCTGCTTGTATTCTGGGGCTTCAAGAGAGGTGAGGACACAGCTGTTGAAGAAGCAGAGACAGTGGTTAGCAAACAGGGGTGTTGATCCAGAGAATGCCTGGTTCTTGGGCCCAGTTCTAAGGAGGACACTGCAAAGATATTGTTCACTGGGTCTGGGGTTGCTCTAACCTATTAACCAGTGGGAAATCACAGAGATGGCCAGTGGGGCAGGGGGGGCGGGGGTAACATCATTTGCCATTTAAGATTCTGGTTAATGGTAAGAACGTTCATCCTTTGAAATAAAAAAAATTGAGTTATAATGATTTATATGCCATCTATATTCCACCAAACTTTCTGGTTGCATTTTCATCACAGGAAAGAGGAAAGTGGAAAGAGCATTAGATTATAACTCCAGCCCTATCAAATGTGCCCTGCTGTGTGAGCCAGAGCTACTGTCTTTCCTTGTCTGGTCTTTAGTTTCCTTCTCTGAAAATGACATAATTTGATGGGATTGTTTTCAAAAGTCCTCCCTCTTGCTCAAAATAAAAAACAAAAACAAAACTAATTTTAGAAATCTTCACGAATATGGCCAAATTTATTTCTGCTAACATTTTGAGAATGTTGAATGAGTTCATTATGTGTTTATGTGATTTTAAAATCTTAAACCCAATTTTAGGGCAAAAAGAACTTCGAAAAGGTAGATTGCTATTTGTTTGCTCTCCCACAGGGTAGAGCTTGCTGGCAATCAGATTTGCCGATAGGAGGATCTGGGCAAGGATCTAATTTCTGTTTTCTGGCAACAAGGTATCAACAAACAGTCATTGGCCCCTTGCTGTTCCTGCTTCCTAGGTGCACTGGGCACTCGGGGAGGGGCAAAGACTTCAGCACTGATTCTGATATTAAGTCCCACAGAAAGTGGGTGAAGGCCTCAATAGATGTCCTTGTATTAGATCCACATCTTGTGCCATTCTCTCAAAACACAGGGTGGTTATTCTTGTTTTGCAGGCTACCCATGTTGATTTACACCCAGAACATCGTGTATATACTAAAGCATTTATTTTTTAATCTGCTCCACATCAAACCATACATCATTTCTTTCAAACTATTTAGGGAGTGTCATCAGATGACTTTTTAAAAAAAATCAAGGTCAGAAATTTCAGTCTGTGTGCTATATGGTCCTTTGTGTAGAAGGATGGAAAAGTTCATTAGAATTTTTGTAGCTTTTAAAGCATAGAGATCACAATTCAATTCCATCTTTCTTTTTGGGTGGAAACTGAGGCTCAGAAGGAGGAAAGATGATCCAATTGTTATAGAATCCAAGTAGGCAGAGCAAGGACTAAAGCCAGTACTGTTGAGTTTGGTGATGCAAGAATGCCTGGGGGATGGGTACGTGGGGCTAAAATCCTGACACAAGGCTTTGTCCACAGAGGAAGGGATGTCTCTTCCTATTTGGTCAAAGATGGTAACTTGCTGACCAATCTATGGACCTGCAGGGCTGTGTCTGTCCAGAAAGGGTGTTTTTTTCTAATTCACACAACAGTGCTGTTTGTGCTTCAGTCAGCGTAGGCTAAGAAGCCCAGTTTTTATGACTCGGACTCTTCATCTGTACCACTGGGGAACTGCCATTTGCCTCGATGACTATCCCTCCTTTGTGTAAGAAGCCTGCATCACAAAGCGTTTGTTTTCATCTACATTATTACATTGAGTGCTTATAACACAGAGCATGTTCATACGCTGGGGATCCCAGGAGGTATTCTGGGCACAGAATATGATTCCCACTTTTCAGAGGAGGAAATGGAAAAAGATGACGTGAAATGATTGCCTGTGTTCACTCAGCTCGGAGCATCTCTGTCTGAGCTAGAAGCACAATATTTTTCTGGGCCAGAGGGGAGAACAAAACACCAGGGTAACTGCTCCTTCGGCCGTGCTCCCAGGTGTATTAGATGTAAAACAATAAATGAATATGAAGAAAAAAGTTTGATTTTATAAAATCAAGAAAACTTTTTCTCCTATTTTATTTTCCTGTTGAGTGTTGCGTGGCGGCATATTTCCCATCCTCCCCTCCGAGATATAGTAAATATAGGTTGTGTCATTCAATTTGATTCAGCTCCATTTTTGAGTACGTACCTGAGGCCTGGCACTGCTTTATAAAGCTCGCAAAAGTGAAGAGGATTCTAGTCAGATATCATTTTTCTCTCCCTCAAAGGCAGAAAGAATCTTGAACCTAAATTTCTTCTTCAGAAAAGACTGACACAGGATTAAGTGATACTCCGAATGTGTGAAGTACTTTCTTCACAGCCCCTGAATATAAATTGTTTGACAAGGAAATCTTAGTTTTAATGCACTTGTTGTCATTAACGCATATATAAAATTTTTTGGCACTTACTCAAGAGAGGCCATGGAATGAGTTAGTACCATCTAATAAGATGTACCTATGGATTTTAATTGAAGTGCAAATGCCGAATTATTTCACGTAAGACAGCCAGAGGGAGCAACTCCCTCACTGACGTCAAGAACGGAGGTAATGGCGGCCACCTCACCCGTTTCTTATGCCAAAGCATTAAACATTCTGAGGTGACTGACAGTGGTGTGACTGGGAAGTGGGAAAACGTTGAACGGTTCCCAAATACAGAACTCTTTGGGGAAAACAGGAGACATTTGGCAAAAACTCCAAACCACAAGTGTATGGTTACAATCCTTCTCTACCTCCTGCCAAGAAGTCTGTGATGTGACGTCCTCACGTAATTCCAGCAGCCCACCCACAAATCCTCGACTCCCAGATAATTTGATGTTTCCAACATGAGACATCATTTTGCAAAGGAGATTCTGTTTTGTTCTGGATCTGGTTGATTTCTTCAAACACACTGAAACAAGTAACAGCAGCCACTCTTTGAGCTCACTGCTGGGTTGGAGCTGCATGCTCATCCTGTCAGAGCTTCTCCCCTTACCTCTGCCTCCTTGTAAATCACAATGTTTTCTGTGCCTGCCGCTGACCTCTGAGGCCAGATGATGTCAAGTCTGGAACAATCTGATCATTGATCCTGGATGGCATCAGCCATGTGAAAAGTTGGGTTAATGAGTCACCTCTGGCTTCAAAAATCTTGTTAAGGGCCCACAATAAAAATAACCAAACAAGATGTTCCTCTCATCTTTTTTTCCCTGACACATTGCTAGGGAGGAAAATCTGAATACTCCCTTTATTAAACATACAACACATCTTTTCTAGCCACTTTATATGGTACGTTTGGGGGAACAGAGAACAAAAGGTGAACCAAATACACTTTGCTCTCTCTTTCCTTGGTAGAATAGCCACAGTGGAGATCCAAGATAGAGAAGGGTTTTATCAAACCTTTCTAACTTAACAGTCTCTCTCCTAACTCTCTCATCTTCTGCTCCTGAAAGGCCAACCAATTTTGAATAAATAAGATCAAGCATCTTCTTCATCTGAGTCTCCATTTCAACAGTGCATTGGGTGTCACCCATATATATTGGACATCTTGCTCTGGGCCCCTTTTGTCAAACTTAGGTGCCTTCCCTCATGAGGACAGTGTGATGGTGCAAGTTCTAGTAATCCTACCTAGACCATCATTAAACCCTCATCCCTCATCCCAAGTTTATGTTTTTACTTCTAACATACTATCTGGTGATGGGTGGGGGAAGAAGTGGGAACTGAGCGAGAAGCATTACCTGCTGTGTTTCATCTTCTTCCACTTGCTAACTATATACTCCATTGTTTCAAAAGGCTGTAATCATAGTTGACATTTATAAAACCTTTTTATGGTCTTGAAGTACTTAGCAATCATATGTAACTACATAATTGTCTTGAGAGACACATCAATGCAATCTTCATTGTATAAATGGGAAAAACGAACAGTCACAAGGAAGGCAGTATAGTAAAGCTCTGGTCATTTATGAATACATTCTCAGATAGTTTTTGAATGGTTACTCAACAGTGGGCTTAGGGTGGTATTCAAAGATGAATAAAATTTTATCAGCTCTTTTAAGGAGTTCAAAATAAAGTGGAAAAAATAGACATAAAAATGATTGATATAAAGTAAGGTAAATGTGACAGTAGAAAGGTTATGACAGAGGTAGGTGGAAAAGGCCATGTGAGTTCAGGGAGGGAGTGGTTGGGGATAGAGAAAGGTTTATGGAGGCAGTGACAGTTAACCTGGGTCTGGCATGCCTGTTCTGCCACCGATAAGCAGGAATGAGCCACATAATCTCTCATTTCACCACTGTGCCCTCAATTGGAAAATATTGCATTTGAACTGGATGATTTCTTGGTTTCTAAAATATTGAGCCTTCAGAGAATTTAGGAGAGTTCACAAAGTTGGTATTTTGGGGTGGGATGGAATAAGATCTACTACAGATTGCCAAGGGGGAAACACTAATGAATGTGTGAAAATCCAAATAAATACCAACTTAAGAGGAAGTTTTATTTATTCCCTTGCAAGGAAAGTATTATTCAAGTGGGTGGGGTGAAGCCCTTGGGAACCAGGCTTCCTAGTGAAAAACAAAGGAGTAGCCAGTGTCATAAATAGCTGAAGTGGATCCATCATTCAGACTAAAGTCAATGACTCTAGCAGGAGCATTTTCCTCTGCCCAAGAGTCCATAAAACTTTCTACCCCATATGCCGTGAAGCCAAATTACTATACTTTCATATCAGAAATGGAAAATATGGTGATATTCCAGTCCACAGGTATGTTGTCTGAAAAGCTTAGCATTTCGTAAAGTCGGTCAGTCTTTTAATAAAACCAGAAAGCCATGTAATGCATTTTTTTAATTTAATTTACTTTTTTTTTGAGACAGAGTCTTGCTTTGTTGCCCAGGCTAGAGTGAGTGCCGTGGCATCAGCTTAGCTCACAGCAACCTCAAACTCCTGGGCTCAAGCCATCAT